TGCGGGTGAAGAACTTTGGCATCTGGCTTCGCTATGACTCCCGCAGCGGTACCCACAACATGTACCGGGAGTACCGGGACTTGACCACTGCAGGCGCCGTCACCCAGTGCTGTAAGCACCCCAGTGTGGTCCCCTAGACCCAAGCAGGCCGGGCGCAAAAGACATGGGGAGGGAGGCATAAGGAGCAGATTTGCAGAGGATACCCAGGCCTCTGGTATACCCTTCACTGACAATTGAGGATTGGGGGAGACCAGTGAGATCCCTGCCATCTCCACCTACAGGCTGAGTGTCCCTGGCACCCACTGTCTTTGGACTTGTGATCTCTGAGTCTTCTGCTTGCACCCAAACCCAAGGACTGTGGCTTCTCGTAGCAGCAGTTTAAAGAGTGGTGCGCACAGAAAGTGGGCCTTGTCGCCTTTGAGGGGCTGTGCAGTGCCCCTCAGAGTGAATGTGAAGGTTCGACAAGCTTGCTAGTGGGCCCTTGGGCCCATTGGGCGCCATGCAGTGCATGTGGAAGCTTTGTGTTTCTCCTTCCCTGCAGACCGCGACATGGGTGCTCGACACCGAGCCCGGGCCCATTCCATCCAGATCATGAAGGTGGAAGAGATTGCCGCCAGCAAGTGCCGCCGGCCTGCGGTCAAGCAATTCCATGTGAGTGGCTGGGGTTTGGGGGCGTGGTCCTCTAGAACCGGGCGGCAGGGGGACCCTGAAACTGCAGTCCTGGGGGTGGCCACGCTCCGGTGACCTTAGAAGAAGTTCTGGGCACCTGCCCAGCCGCTTATCTTGTATCCTCCTCTTTCTCAGGACTCCAAGATCAAGTTCCCACTGCCCCACCGAGTCCTGCGACGCCAGCACAAGCCCCGCTTCACCACCAAGCGGCCCAACACCTTCTTCTAGGCTCACCTCCCACCCGTCTGCCCAATAAACGCCTTGGGGACCGGTACGGGGCCTAGAGGTTGTTTTCTTTGCCCGCCATACAGAAATCAAAAGAGCGCAGAGTGGGGCATGAGCCCTGCCCTCTTGTGCACTGCTGGTTTCAGCCCTTGTGTGCCTGCAAACCCCACGTCTGCTCCTTGAGTGGAGAGGGGCCCAAAGCTGCCGCTCCGTCCTGCCACAGGAATAGCCAAGGTGGGGGGGGTTCAGGTAGACCTCTCCTGCCTTATTCCATCTCCATGGGGGAGGGGGCTATTCCCCACCCCCACCCCACCCCCGCAGTGGAGATCCTGGAGCTTTAATCTTGCCCCAGGACCCCTCCCATTGTGTCTCCAGGAAACTGCATTAGGCCTGCAAAGGAATGCAGGCACAACCTAATCGTGCTCTACCTGAGCCAGAGCACGTCCTGCGAGTAGGCCCCCCCTGGAGCTTGGCCACAACCCGCCCACAGCTTCCTGTCCTCTTTCCTGAGTGGGTGGGGGGTCAGAGCCTGAAGTGCACAACTACATGTGTGTTTTCCGCTGGGGGGTCCCTCCGGCCATCCAGTGTCACCGTCTGGTCTCACTGTCCAGCTTTCACTGTATTGGACGTGCTCTGCTTGGGTCGGGCACACCTTTGGTCTTCAAAGTGACAGGTTTGCTTAGCAACGTTCCAGAATAAGCCCCTTCCAAACCTTTCTCACGGTTTTATAAGGGTTTCAGAACCGCACCCCTGGTTCTCCCCAACGGACAAGCTGGCTCCTGCCATCTCCCCCTCCTGCCGAGCCGAACACTCATTGTCGTTCTGTCTTCTGCCATCAAGCTGTTGGAGGGCAGGGCTCCTGCCTTGGCACAGAGTCCTGAACTGTACATGGGAAAGAAGCCCAAGTGGATGGGGAGGGCCAGGTGGGTCCCAGAGAAGGGCAAAGGCCTCTACCCTGAGCTCACACCTGGGGCTGCCAGTCAACAGTAGCACTGAGCAGGGGCCTGGGGGCAGCCTTGGTTACATGTTGGGCTGTGTTCTAAAAGGTCAGCAGTTTGAAACCAGTGGGAGAAACACTGGACTTTCTACTCCAGTAAAGTGGAGTCTTGGAAGCTAAAGAGGTTGCCATAAGTCAGCATTGACTTGATGGCAGTGAGTTTGGTTTGGGGTTTTTTCCCAGCCTGGCAAGCGTAGAGTTAGAGTGCAAACTTTCTTTTCCTCTCCCATGAATCAGCTGAGCTTCTTGGGAGCAGGTGGCTGCTTTTGGTGAGGATTTTACATACTCTGCCAAGCCCACTTGAGAATCCATGCCTGTTTCTGAGACTGACCAGGGGAGAGCCTTTTTCTCCAGCTGAGCCGCTGCTGAGTTTTAATTGCTGGCCTTCCATATTGTGGCCCAGTGAGTTACCACGGGGCAAGCTGGGCTCACGTGTGGAACCCCAACCCCAAAATCTACATGATTCAGAGCTGAAGAATGGGGGCACTTTGGGTGGTATCTGCAGCCACATGGGACCATATGTTGGCCAGCAAGGTGGAAGAGTGTTTTGATGGCAGCACAGCTGTGACATGTTCCTACACCCCACCCCACCCCTTGCATCTAGACCAGGGCTGTGCCAACTGCACCTTGAGCCATGTGCCACTCTAGGGGTGCCTACATGTGGCTCAAGTAAAATTGAAAAAGCATATTCAGATAACCTCATTTATTGATAAAGATTCACTTAATGGCTCTCAAGTCATTTGAGATTGGCTGTTGACCCCACCAAGCCTAAATACATCCTGTGCTGGGTGTTAACTTGGGGATCTCTTAGGCGTGATCTTGAAGTGGGCAGCATGTAACTAACTGCATGGGGCAAGTCAGGAATCCTAGTGACGCAGTGGATTCAGACCCACTTTTCCCGTGGAGACTGGCTGCTCCCTTCAACCTTGGGAGCACAAGAGCAGTGCTCTGCTCCGAGGTGGCGGTGAGTGGGCTGGGGCTGCCCCTTGTGCTCCTGGGGAGGTTCAGATTCATAAGCACAGAACAAGATGCCACCCGGTCCTGCTACATCCTCAACTGGGCCATGCTTGAGCCCATTGTAGCTCCTGTGTCAACCCGTCTCCTTGAGGGGCTGCCTTTTACAGGGACTTTTCTCTTTCATCTGGACTTGCCTGGGGCAAATGTCCAATATGAGCCCCAGTCATTGAGGGTGCTGACTGCTCCTCACCAGAGGCTGAGAAACCAGGAGTCATCCTACAGGGCCCACTACGAAGTGCAGGAGGGCTAGACCAGGGACCTCTGCGCCCTAACCTCTGCTAGGGAACCAGATGAGGGCTCTGCCTGCACCAGCCCAGGGAAGAGGGCAGCCCTTGGAACGATGAAAGGACTCTAACCTTTCCCCTTCCCTGCTGTGGGAAGTCTGCCTGGGACCCCTCCCCTCCCCCAGCACCCTAGCCAGCCAGTCAGGAATCCCTCCTCCATCTGAAGACACCTGTTACTTGCTGGTCAGTAACCCACCACTTGTTCACCCATCTAACAGTCAACACATGCTGCGCAGAGCTGGCTGGAGGCCAGGCCCACCAAGCGGAGGCTTGGCCAGACCAGCCAGGTGGAGGGCAAAGATGGGAGCAAACCAAAGGGGGCTGGGCCACCTAGCTTCCTGTCCTGTGACCCCTCTCACTAGCAGCGTTCCAGGAGAGCCAGGTGGTGAATGGCTCATCCTACCTGTCCAAGGATGAGGCTGGCATTAGCCAGACAACTCCAGTACGCAAGTGCTGAGAGCTCCCGGGAACCCTGGGGAAGAGACCCTTGACCTGTTCCTACCTCACTCGACCTCCGCTGAGTCAGGACCACTGGCCCAGGGCGGAGACCCTGGCTGCAGATCCTAAACAATAATACCGTGTCCTTCAGAACTTAGACCCTTGGGATCTTGCAGATGAGCACCATTTACTGAGCCCAGGCCTGAAGTTCAAGGTCTGTCTCTGGAGCTTGGTGCCCTCCAGTCCGTTCCAACTCACGGACCTACCGACAGCCAGTCCTGCACCAACCTGCCATGGTTAGGTTTGAGCCCATTGTTGCAGCCACCCTGTCAATCCATCCTCCCCCCGACCGTCCATGTTACCAAGCACGATGTCCTTTTCCGGGGACTGGGCCTTGACACCACGGCACAAAGTATGTGAGACAGTCTTTCCATCCTTGATGCTAAGGACCATTCTGGCTGTACTTCTTCCAGGACAGATTTGTTTGTTCTTTTTTAAATCATTTTATTGAGGGCTCGTTCAATTCTTATCACAATCCACACATCCATCCATTGTATCTAGCACATTTGTACATTTGTTGCCATCATCATTCTCAAAACATTTGCCTTCTACATGAGCCCTTAATATCAACTCCTCATATTCCCCCTCCCTCCCCACCCCCCCTTCACGAACCCTTCCTAATTCATAATTATTTTGTCATATCTTACACTGTCCGAAGTCTCTCCTTGCTCACTTCTCTGTGGTCCATCCCTCAGGGAGGAGGTTATACATAGATTGTTGTCATCGGTTTCCCCCTTTCCACCCCACATTCCCTCCACCCGATTTGTTTGTTCTTTTGGCAGTCCATGGTACGTTCATGGCCCCGGTTCAAATCCTGACTGGACTCAGTCCACAGCTTGCTCATGAGCCATCAGGGCTACCCACAGGTCATTGCTGGAGTCAGGGTGCTCACAATCCTTTGTCCCTGACCCCTGCACCATCTCCACCGGGCTACCACCCACCCACACAGCACCCTAACCAGGCCACAGCCTCCTCCATTCCTGCTCCTCTGCTCAGGGGATCTGCAGCGACAGCCTTTGGGGATTGCCTCTGTCAGCCTGCATCTGGAATTCCAGGCGGTTCTGAATCTGTCCACTTCTCCCCACCCTCAGTAGGGCCTGAGGGTTGCCTACTCCGGACCCTCGCCTGGGTTTTCCTGCCACCGCCTTGAGGGTCTGCCCCTCTCACTGAGCCGAGCCTTCATGGTCGGCTCCAGTCAGCCCAGGCCTCCTTCCTGGCTCTTCTTCAAACTCTTAAGCTTTTCCCGGCTCAGGGCCTTTGTGCTTGCCAGTGCCCCACCAGGAGCACCCTCTCACCCCTCTCTCGCCAGCTCTCTCCACGCCTGGCTAGCTGCCCCTGCACAGCTAGTCACTGTTCCCAGAGGCCCCCCCTTCCCCCAATCCACCTCCATATCACTCCTGTTGTCATCCTTCACCTGAACTGAGACGGCAAAGCAGCTCCCGCCCGGTCCCACTCTGTCCCCAGCTTCCTGGATGGGGCCCCGTATACAGCAGGCACTCAGAAGGACTCCGCTCAGACCTGTCTACAGCAGACACCACAGAAGGGGGCGGTGGGGGAAGGACAATCATGGCAAGGGGGCGGGGTGGGGATTACAGGACCGATTTACAGGTCTTTTCTTTGGCTGGCAATCCTGGCCAGGGTCTCCCATTTCCTTCTAAGCTTTCCTGAAGGGAGTTCCAGGTTTCTAGAAGCACGAGGTAGGGGGTTAAGGACCAAAGTCTGATTCAAGAAATGCTCAAGACTCCCTCCAGCACCCCCAGGAAGGAGTCCCAAGATGACAGTGCTGGGGACCCCAGGCAAGAAAATGTGCCTGTTTTCTCATCTGCATGATGGGACAAGACCCAGTCCCTGGGGTAAGTCAGA